CTCCCCTCCCCCTCCCCCCCTCATAAGCTCAGGAATTCTCCTCCCTACAAACGTACACGAGAAGGAGAAATATATTTCAAACATAATTGCAACTGGATGACGTCAATCGAGGATGATGTATCGCACAAGAGGAAAACAAATTGAAGCAGAGAAATCATTACATTCAGGCACCAGTTTCTTATTACACAATCATAGTATTAAACAGAGTTGTTAGTTTAGAGATAATTTATTGTTATGCGCCGGTTTTTACTAGAGTTTGCATTAGACAGCAATGAAAACGTCTCCCTAAGCTATTTGTGCCATGTTTGATCTATTATTTCCCATTTCGATTAATTCTGCTGCATACTGTCTGTGCTATTGGTAAGAGCTAACAGCTTTCTATCTTATAAACACTAGTCTTCGTTGAAGTAACGTTTCTTCTTTGAACGCTAGGTATCGTTTCATAAACACCCTGAAAAAGGCATCAGCAAGATCTGATTATCGAAACCTTGTCATCAGGCACACGAAGCAGTTCAGTAATATTCATAACAACAGGCAGTTCCTTCCTTGGCATCGCTGGTATTTGTTGCAGATGGAGAACATCCTGCGCAAAGTGGACCCAATTGTGACGGTGCCCTATTGGGACTGGAGTCTATGGTCAGGGGCACCCTGGTTGGATAAGGTACCTATCTGTGGTTCCCTTGTAACTACTTTAGAAAATTCTGAAAGCAATTATCAGTTTGCTACTGAAATTAATCTAGGATTTCATTGATTGTGCTAAGCTTTGCCCTGCGATTTGCTGAGAAACTCATACCATCCTCTCAAATCATCAGTAGCAAACAAGAACTGATTGTCTCCTGGCTACCATTCCTTTCCCGCGCTCGATACATGTATTACGCATCTGCTTTGAGTTCCCATTGGCTTTATGTGACTTTCTCTGAAACAGTGATGTGATACATTCTTGGGTTAGGTCTACGAAATCCAATCGAAATTCGCTTTTGAAGTTTTATAATTACTCCGTGCTGCAGCCACATTTCTTGTAAAGGTGAGCGCAAAATCATGGCAAGTGAAGGAAGGAACGAGGGGGGAGAAGTAAGGAGAGAAATATCACTCTTTCCCCAGCAGAACTTCAAAGGTTTTCGTTTTCCTGCTTTTTCAATCTTTACTACTAACCGAGAGCCTGGGAAACTTCTTAGGACATTTCTTTTAATTGTTTTCTCGAGCAGGAAACTTATCCAAACGCATAACAACACCAATAAAGCTCGAATTTTTCGAACCTTGCAAAATATAGTTTTCCTAACCCTTTCCTTTTTGTTGACAATCACCAATTTCCAGATCATGAGCACGTGGAGCAATGCACCATGGGGCTTAGGAAGCAACGGTGGAAGAGATGGTTGTGTGTACAGCGGACCGTTTGGAAAACACCGTTTTTCGCTGACAAGCGGAGGATGCCTCAAAAGAAATTTTAATGGTAATTCTTAATGCTTTTGTCAACTAAAAAGAATAATCTCTTAGAAAGCTGGCTAATCATAGATGACTCTTAAGGTTGCTAGAGGACGTACCGAAAAAATTTAAAATTCCTGTTGTAAAGAAGAGTGTATTGGATTTATTTTGCTGTCGCAGAATCGTACCTAGAATTGAAGAATTGTAGCTTTTCTATTGAAAAACATCGATGTCAAAGTAACGACACGAGCTGCACAAATTTTTTCGTTTATTTTTCGATCGCGTCACAGACATCTCTAAAAGCGAGAACGCGTTCAGACGTTAAAAGTATTTTTTTTTTCTCAACAGGTAATCCACCAGACTGTATAGCCGTTCATAAGTGCTTGCGTATCTTCTCTAACAAGTTCACCGACTTCGAAATGACGCTCCGTGACACCTTACACAACAACATGCATTGCAGAATCGGAGGGAGAGGCGGAACCATGTGCAGCAGGCAATCAGCCAATGCCCCAGAATTCCTTTTGCACCACGGATTCGCCGACAAACTCTGGTCTGATTGGCAGAAGAAGGGAACCCGATACAAAAATGCTTACTTTTCAGGGAACATTCATCTTTACGGAGTGTCCCCCCGGCTCAGGCCTCAGAACTTGATGGATCTGTCCAGACAGCCCGGAGGGGTTTGTGTGGCCTATGACGACCCTCCTCATGAGAACTACAAATTGTGTCACGAGCAACTGGCGAGTTTAAGCTTAGCAGAGATTGACGCTATTCCCAGACAGAAGTTCACGCGGCTCAGTAGTCTGGAGTTTGACTTGTTTATGACAAGGAAGAGGGAAAAGGCGCAAGTGAACAGGGAAATGAACGAACTTGAACCCAAGCACGTCTTGTCCAAAAGTAGCAAGTTGAATTCTCAAGACAACCAACTGGGATTCAAGATAGAAGATGTCAAAGAAGCTATAAAAAGAAAGAAGAAGAAGAGAGAAGAAATCATCAACAATTAAATCCAAGCTTCTCTAGCAGACAGAAAGTCTCAGCAAAGCTGACTGCAGAACGTGCTATGAAAGGACTCTCATTTAACTGGCTTTAGCTCTCTTCGCAACAGACTCCTCAGAAAAACTCCCTTTTTTATATCCTCCAACAAAACAATAAAAAAGAAAAGAAACATGTTGGTTTCTATAAATGCACATTTAGACATAAATAATTCCGTCAATAAACTTGTTGTTCTCTTTGTGTACAACGATAACGTTGAAATGGGAATCTCTTTCAGTTCTCAGCCTTATGTAATAAAATCTAGCATACTTTTCTCCTGTTCTTTCACAGCTCTCTGCTCTCGATAATGATCAATAAAACGTTTTTTAAAGTTTCACGCTTCTTGTTTTTTTTTTTTCACCTCTGTTGTGTGTGTGTTTTCTTAATCTCCCTCTTCATGAATTCCTTTTGCTTTTCTCCCTGTTATTTATACTAAGCGTCGCCTGTATAGGTTTATTGTTGTTATTGTTTTACTTAGTTTGCGAACTCGGTCTCCCGGTCCTCATTTTCTACCAGTATTTGTAGCTGAGTGCTTTCACTAAATCCGCACGGATTAACGTTTGTCGTTTAGGTCATTCCTCAAAGGATACTGTGTTTCCCTTCCCTTAGTTATGCTATTCCAGCAGGAGACATGCAACAGATTTTTAAATCCTTTAGAAGCCTTGCGGGTTTTCGGTTTAGTCTTACAAGTAGCAGAGATTCTGCCCTAAAATCTATTTAACAAACTTCACAAGCCTCATTCAGTTCCTGATGACGGTGACACAAGACTTAGGAAATTTTACTATCAAACTATCTAGTCCTGCCGATCTGGCCAACAGGTCTCGTCGACCTCATTGTGCTGTTCTGTTCATGTTTGACGTGGAGAACTAAACACATTCTATCCTCAGTCATTTTTAGCAGTACAACATATCAGGGAGGCTTGGGTACTGATCGAGAGCCTTGGGTTCGAGAATTGTCCTTCTCCTCCTTATTTCACACCATATAATCCCAATCCCCTACTCCCTTGCTAAGTTTTTTGTCTCGCCTTAGTTTCCCTATTCCTCGGCTGTCTATCCGAGGGAGTAGCGATAATCTCGGTTGTGACTCTCACCAGCTAAGCCTAGTCTCCCTCGCAGCCGTTTTTAGTCTCGTCACGCAACGCTCCTCCAAGCGTTGCGTGACGAGACTAAAACGGCTGTGAGGGAACTAGTTAAGGCCAAGTCAAGGACAGGCTTGAGGTGAAACGTGAAACTGGTGTGAGTGGTACAAATAAGATATCTACTCCGACTCAGGCTTCTGTCGAATGATTAGTGTGATTCGTGTAGATTATCGGCCCCGATGAGCTGGTGTTGTATTTTTTCAGACCGATTTGTATAACAATAAAAAAACCCTAAAGTAAGGAAATCAAAGGTCACATTTGATTTAGGCGTCATGACACAACTCTTTGGTAACATTAAAACGGCGATGATGGTATTTCGGCCTCTAAGACTGTACCTTCAATTTGTTAGATGAATTTACTGGTCATCAAATTATCCATAAAGCAATTTGACAAACGAAGATGGATTTAGCGCATGTTTTTGACAGCGCCTGAACGTCGAGATTTTCACTCTTTCATCAGGAACAAGAAACTTTTTCAAAGCGCAATCTCCTTCAGCAACATTTCGCTGGTACGGTGAGGTACGATCTTCCCCTCAGTTTTATAATCATTACTAAAAAATTTACATCTCTGTCGGCCGTGACCCACGTTGTTCAAAGGAAAAAGAAAGGAATTAGGTAATTAAAAGTCGTTGAATGAAAATTTGTTTGAAAGTAACATCTGTGATGTTCTTCTCCCAGTGTTTTACTTTCAAGCCTACTTTAATTGGTTTTGATCATACGAGTTGACTGGAATACTAAGGAACTTATTAAGCAACTAAAGACATGAGGTGCAGTAAATTTTAAATGATAACGAAAAATCGATGTCCGAAACTCCTACCACCCATGAATTTAACTGGACCGAAAGAGCGAATGAATCATACAACGCTGAAGGAATATGAAGATTTGTCAGGGCCTAGATGAAAAGAAAGCAGGAAAAAGCTGGGTTTGTTGTATCAACCTAGTGTTACAATTATTGATTAGTGATTTGTTGATGTCAGACTCAGCTTAACCACAAATCTTTAACGGAACGATGAACGCGCGCTAATAGGCTGGCTTCGAACGTCATATGGATAGATTTTTAAAGCTTTCCGGGAAGGAAGAAAGATGCAACAGCGAGAGAGCGGCAACTTATAAACTGACGGATAGGGTCTTGATTTTAAGGAAGTGGAAATGGATGCTGTACAAGCAGCTCTTCAACATCAGACGGTAAATAATTTATGTCAGTGAATTATTCGCAGCGAGCCAACTCGAAAAAATCGTCTTTTCAATGATACCAGGCGAACGAAAAAGTTGATGCGAAACAAAGAGACATACTATGACAAACACTGAGAATTCCGAAAGTAAAGGAGGTGCGATTCGTATCTCGCTATCCATGGTAGATTAAAGTTACAATGACTCTTAGGCAATTATTTGTCGAAGCACTATGGCTAAAAAATAGAAAAAAACCGACTGGATGTTGAGCACGAACGTAACCAAAGGAACCAAGGGTGAGACAACAGGTTGCAGTGTCGACATCCAATCTAGCCAGTTGGCAATTATATGATTCCCGATTTCAGCTTACGGACTGTTTTAGAGGTGGCAAGTGGTTTAGAGGGCATTGTGTAGTTCAGAAAAATAGCGAACAGCAGAGGAGAGCTGTTAGGTTACGAGAGTACGGAAGTGAAAGGGCTATTTAAGGACGAGTGAAGAGACGAAGGAAACAATGCGGTGTGATGCCTTTTGATTGCGCACTGCTGTCTTTAGTCTTAGTTGAATAACTAAAACAGGAAAATAACAATAGCGTAATGCTAATAAAAGATCCTTTTGAAAGACAAAGCTTTCCTGCTAAAATATACTTTTGACGTATTCTCACGCTTTAGCTCACGGAAAAAAAACTAAAAGAAAAACTGTTGGGTTACTCCAGAAGGATCTTGTGTTCGGTGCTGCTTCCTTTCAGTCCATCGAAATGAGCGACGGGGAAAGAAAAAGGACAACAACCGACTTTATTAACTGACATGAGTGTCATTATTCTACTTTGTTTCCCTTCCGGGGAAAGCTTCCTAAAAGTTTCGTTTACATTTGCTGAAAATAGCGAAACATGTTTGCGAGCTCAGAAAACTTGTTGAAGGGAGCATTGGGATTTTCGATTTTGGTTATTTTTCAGTCGGATCGGTTTTTCAGTTTTGTGTCGAAAAAACTTCCGTTTTTCGTTTTTTTTCCCCCCTCCTTGTTTCACCTCAGTCATGGTAATAAAGAATCTCTCACGATAAAAGCGACGTTTCAAACTCTCGTAGTCATTTAGTATTCTACCTCTAGAGAGAAAAAGAGTTCCTAGTCAGAGAAGAATCCTTCCTCCACGCGATTTATCCAAGAACATGAAGCCTATCACTGCGGCAGTTCTCTGCGTTAATTTTCGCCCTCGGCGTGAATTCCGCGTCCGTCGGCCTTTCCAGCACCCATCTGACGCTCAATGGTAACGCTCACATTCTGTTTTACGGTCCCGAAGAAGCGATTTGGGCTGGATTATCCAACGGTAAAAACTGGAATCTTATTTCAGTGCCTTAATATTCAGTGTCAGAAGGTTTGCTTAATTGCTGTGAACGTTTCTAAAAATTCCCTGCACCGTGAAACTCGGGAGCTGGTTTTGAGGAAGCGCGTGTCGTAAATGTGTTTGCCAATTTTAGGGACAGGAAATTCTGGTTCGGTAGAAAATTGTAAAATTATTTAATTTTAAACAGATTCCCCAGTCTTCAAAATTTTTGACCAAATACGCAGAGGACGAAAACGCCTTTGAAGAAGGCCCTCCACTAATTTCCGTCCATTCTTACATCGTAGGTCGCCGATATCCCATCATTAACAGTGGTGATCGGATTGCTTTGCGGTCAGCCAACCGTTCTGGTGACTTTGTTAACAACTGGATGCGCTGTACAAGTTCGAATTGCAAATGGTATACATGCCCTGGCCAGGTGATAAATTCATCAGCTTGGTCCTCATGCTCAAGTAACATGTTTTATTACATTCACGCCATGGGAAAGATGGACGGCCAGCCAATAAACAGCGGTGACGTAGTGTCACTAAGTAGCCGAGCCTTCAGAAGCAGTTACCGGTTGTTCTGTGGTACATCGAGCAGCTCCAAATGTTACATGTCTTCGTAAGTGATTATTTGCTGTTGAAATTGTTTGAGTGTCAAAAAATAACAAAACTAATCACGTTTTACGCTCACAAGCACTTTGTCAGCAACACCCCCCAGTTGGCCTTTTTTTGTTACTTACCGAGGGGGACATTGGGATCCATTAGAAACCGCACACCATAGAAAAAATCATCCAAACCAGAAAAAGCGAGAAAACCGCATGCAAAACCGTCAAAACCAATAAATTTTTCAGATCGCAGTTATCAAAACCTTAATCGATTCGATAAAGTGGTGAGAAGTGAGCGGTTATTCGAGATCAGTGGAGGTGCATAATTGCCGCTCAGATCGAAGGGAACCGGAACCAAAACCACATCAGATAGGAAATCCGAAAACTTGTTAGTATTTTTGACAAAAAACCAAAAACAAAATGCTAAAGTAAAAAACAATAGCCAAAACCAAAAATCCGAAAATCCGATGCCCCCCTCCTTACCATTCCTATTCACTACTGTGACTGACAACGTGAACAGCCATCTTGATACAGCTACCCATAATCAATCCAAAGGGGAAAGGGTTCCATGTGTGTCAACGTGAAACAAGATTAGCTGAATGAAAGCGATGTTTGGAAGCAAACATCCTAAAAAAAGATTTTTTTTCTTCACAGGTCGCTCAGCTCACTCACGGGTAACAGCTGGTTCTCCTACAATTACGTAACGTTCCAGATCTTTTCCAGGTACGCTACTGATGGTACCCCTGTGCAGTACGGTGATATCGTGGCCTTCAAATATCCGCACGCTTACAACAGCGCCTGATTGTATTATTACAGCGGCTTTTTTTATCCTCGCAGCTGCAGCACAAGCAGCAAAAGCTCGTGCGCCGCTGAAAATCCCACCACTGGCTTCAAAATCTTTAAAAAGCTATAAAACATGACATCCACAACTGAAAGCTTCCCAAACTTATTTCAGCCAGAAAAGTGTCAGTTGCAAGTTAAACTGTTTTTATCTTTTCTCAGAAACAATAAAATCGACGAAAGTTGAGAAATGCCTCACTTGAACTGTGATTATTTTTCCTCCGCGAAGGGTGTGTGCAGAGCAGGCGTAATTTGAGCGAGCGAGTGCTCAGTATTTTCAAAGCGAAAAATGACCGCCATCTTTGATTTTAATGGCAGCGGAAGGCTGGAGAGAGAATAATTTGTACCAAGGGGGTGAGTGACGGTCAAAAATAAGGAGAGGGGCTGGGGTGGAGGAGTGAATTCGCCCTTCTCCTGTCCCTTACCCCCACCCTCCACTCTGACTTCGAATCAAACATGGCGTTCGGATAAACGATCACGAAGTTACAAAGTATAAGACGCGTGCACTGCATGCTACCACAAAGGTAATTCGGCTTCTCCTCTAAGATGATTACAGCAGCCACAGCATCAACAAATAAACAGAAACACGAGAGTCACAGTTTACCAAACCTGTGTAAAATCTAGGTTGCAGAGTAAATTTCAAAAAGTCAATTTCACATAAAATGCTTAAGAACGAGATTTTCACTCAGTTTCATCAGGAACAAGAAACTTTGTCAAAACGCAATCTCCTTCAGCAACATTTAAGATATGATTTCCCCGTCAGTTTTCTAATAATTACTAAAACATTTCCATCTCCGTCGACCCTGACCCGCGTTCAGTCAACGAATAAAAGAAAGGAAGTAAATAATGTCGTGGTATGAAAATTTATTTGAAAGCTGGGGCGGATCCAGGATTTAGTCAAGGGGGGTTCGGTGGGGGGTTCGGAGAATTGTTCCCCTTCTGAGGGGTCTAAGCTTTTAAAAATTAGGTCTTCGGAAACATGATTTTCAGCGTTCTGAGGGAAAATTTTAGGGGGTTCGACCGAACGACCCCTGGATCCGCCATAGGAAAGTAACATCTGTGATGTTCTTTTGCTAGTCTTCTACTTTCAAGCCGACTTAGTTTTGATCATACGACTTGACTGGGATACTAAGTGGGAATGCATTAAGTAACTTAAGACATGAGGTGCGATAAATTTTAAATGATGATGAAAAATCTAAGTCTGAAGCTCCTACCGCCCTTGATTGTAACCGAAAGAGCGAATGAATCAAACAACGTTGCAGGACTATGAACAATTATCGTGGCCCATATGAAAATAAAAGCTGGGTTTGTTGTCTCAACCCGTTGTGTTACAGTTGTTTATTACTGATATGTGTATGTGGATGTCTAGGCCACAAATCTTAAACGGAACGATGAACGCGCGCTGAATAAGCCGGCTTCAAACGTCAAATGGATAGAATTTTAAAGTTTTCCGAGAAGGATCAGGAGAAAGATGCAACAGCGAGAGAGCAACTAATAAACTGACGGATTGGGTCTTGATTTTAAGAAAGTGGAAATGGATACTGCACAAGGAGCCCTTCAACAACAGACGGTAAATAAGCTATGTCAGTGAATTATTGGCAGCGGGCGAACTCGAAGAAATCGTCCTCTCAATGATGCCGGGCGAACGAAAAAGTTAGATGCCAAACAAATAGACTAACTATGACTAACAGAATTTCGGAAGTAAAGAAGGTTCGTTTCGTATAAATATATCGTTATCCATGGTATATTAAATTTGCAAAGACTAATCATTGACGAAGTACTTGGGCAAATAATGGGAGAACACCGACCGAAAGTAAAGGCACGGACACAAATAAGGGAAGCAAGGGTGAGAAAAAAGCTTGCTGTTTTTATCTAACCTAGTTGGAAATTATATGATTCTCGATTCGGACTGTTAAAGAGATAGCGAGTGGTTGGGTGCGCATTGCGAGGTTCAGAAAAACAGCGAAGAGCAGAGGAGATAAGTGAGGTTACGAGTGTGTGGGGCTTTACAAGGACGAGTGAAGAGGCAAATGAAACAAAGCAGTGTCATCCCATTTGATCACGGCTTTTTGTTTTAGACGTAACTTTGACAAAAAGGATATTTAATACTATGGTATCAGGTCTATTAGGACTGAGCGAGTATGCGATGCGTTCTCATCTGAACAAAGCACAAACGATATAAATATGCAGATTTTCGCTTGGTATCTGTCGCGAAGTTACATGTGACTGAATCCTTTGATGAAACGCTTATTTTATACAAATATTTTCTCGCACATGAAAGGTCCGTCTAATAATTATTCAACGAGCAGTGCCGTGTATTTCTTTAGTTTTCTCTTAATTAGCAACCCCCCGTCAAATCGTAAATGAGACGAAAAACTTGAAACGTCTAGCGAGTCTTAAACCCTTTACCGAAGAACAGAGATAGAACATGATGTAATTAAAATGATGAAATTCCATCAGGAAACTGTCCTAAATCAAGGAAAAATAGGCAGTATTTGAACTCAAAATCCGGCAAAGTTCTACGGAGCATAGTTACCTTTTTAAAAAGGAACATCACAGTATGCAGTAAGGCGTTTCGTGCACGATGCTATAAAATATTGCCGAGCCGAGAAGTTCTCTCGATGAATTTAATTCGGCTTTGTAACTTTAAGTCTGCATAAGTTTACCGGCTTGCATTACACGACACCTTTCCAAAATGATATATTTTACCTCTTACACGTCCCCTNAAATTTTTGACCAAATACGCAGAGGACGAAAACGCCTTTGAAGAAGGCCCTCCACTAATTTCCGTCCATTCTTACATCGTAGGTCACCGATATCCCATCATTAACAGTGGTGATCGGATTGCTTTGCGGTCAGCCAACCGTTCTGGTGACTTTGTTAACAACTGGATGCGTGTCAACGCACAGGGAGAATAGCTGAATATAAGCGTTATTTGGAAGTAAACATCCCGAGAAAAGTGTTTTTTTTTCTTTCCACAGGACGATCAGCTCACTAACGGGTAACAGCTGGTTCTACTACAATTCCGTAACGTTTCAGATCTTTTCCAGGCACGGTACTGATGGTACCCCTGTGCAGTACGGTGATATCGTTGCCTTCAAATACCCCTATGCCTCTCGCAGCGCCTGGTTATATTACTACAGCGGCTTTTTTTATCCTCGCAGTTGCAGTGCAAACAGAAAAAGCTCGTGCGCCGCTGAAAATCTCACCACCGCCTTCAAGATCTTTAAAAAGCTGTAAAACACGACATCCACAACTGCTGAAAACTTTCAAAATGATTTCAGCCAGAAAAGTGTCAGGTACAAGTGAAACTGTATTTTATCTTTTCTCAGAAATAATGAAATCGACCAAAGTTGAAAAACACCTCGCGTGAACTGTGATTGTTTTTCCTCCACAAAGAGTGTGTGCAGAGCAGGCGTAATTTGAGCGAGCGAGTGCTCAGCCAAGATGGCCGCCATCTTTGATTTTAATGGAAGCGGAAGGCTGGGGAGAGAAAGTAATTTGTACCGAGTGAGCGACGGTCAAAAATAAGGAGAGGGGCTTGGGTGAAGGAGTGAATTCGCCCTACCCTCGCCCCCTACCCCCACCCTTCACTGTGATACCAAATCAAACATGGCGTTCGGATAAACGATCTCGAGCTTACAATGTATAAGACGTCTGCACTGCAGACTACCACAAAGGTAATCCGGCTTCTCTTCTAAGATGACTGCAACAACCACAGCATCAACAAAGAAACAGAAACATTAGAGTCACAGTTTACCAAACTTGTGTAAAATCTAGGTTGCAGAGTAAATTTCAAAAATTCGATTTCACATAAAATGTTAGAGAACGAGATTTTCACCCGTTCATCAGGAACAAGAAACTTTGTCAAAGCACAATCTCCTTCAGCAACATTTAAGATACGATCTTCCCCTTAGTTTTCTGATCATCACTTGAACATTTCCATCTTACATACACTTACATATATACATGCATACATACACTTTTATTGACACTTTGACACTTTATAATGACGCACTACCCACAAATAGCAGAGCTAGTCTCGGCGGGCAGTGTGTGGACACTAAAACATCTTAAATAAAATTAGGCTCAACAAAAGATTCAATATACATACAAGAAACAGAAATTGAATATTAAATCAGTAAACCTTACCCGCATTGTTCAAAGAATAAAAGAAAGGAAGCAAATAATGTCGTGGTATGAAATTTTATTTTAAAGTAACATCTTTGATGTCAGTTGTCTCAATCTTTTACTGTCAAGCCGACTTAGTCTTGATCATTGAGTTGACTGGGATAAATAAGCGGGAATTCATTAAGTAACTAAAGACACGAGGTGCGATAAATTTTAAACGATAATGAAAAATCTAAGTCTGAATCTCCTACCGCCCTTGAATTGTAACCAAAAGAGCGAATGAATCAAACAACGCTGAAGGAATATGAACAATTATCATGGCCCAGATGAAAACAAAAGCTGGGTTTGTTGTATTAACTTCGTGCTACAGTTGTTTAGTAATGAAGCTTAATGATATGTGTATGTGGATGTCTAAGTCACAAATCTTAAACGGAATGATGAACGCGCGCTAAATATGCTGGCTTCAAACGTCAAATGGATAGATTTTTAAAGTTTTCCGAGAAGAAAGAAAGATGCAACAGCGAGAGAGCAACTTATAAACTGACGGATTGGATCTTGATTTTAAGGAAGTGGAAATGAATACTTTATAAGCAGCTCTTCAACATCAGACGGTAAACAAGTTATGTCACTGAGTTATTGGCAGCGGGTCAACTCAAAGAAAACGTCTTTTCAATGATGTCGGGTGAACGAAAAACTTGATACGAAACAAAGAGACAAACTATGACAAACACTGAGAATTCCGAAAGTAAAGGAGGTGCAATTCGTATTTCGCTATCCGTGGTAAATTAAAGTTACAATGACTCTTAGGCAATTATTTATCGAAGCACTATGGCTAAAACATAGGAGAAAATCGACTGGAAGTTGGGCACGAACGCAACTAAAGGAACCAAGGGTTAAACAAAAGATTGCTGTGTCTACATCTAATCTAGCCAGTTGGCAATTATATGATTCCCGATTTCAGCTTACGGACTTTTTTAGAGGTGGCAAGTGGTTTACAGGGCATTGTGTAGTTCACAAAAATAGCGAACGGGAGAGGAGAGCTGTTAGGTTACGAGAGTACGGAAGTGAAAGGGCTATTTAAGGACGAGTGAAGAGACGAAGGAAACAATGCGGTGTGATGCCTTTTGATTGCGCACTGCTGTCTTT